TCCCCCCCCCCTCTCCGACTGACGTAAGCAGACACTGTGTACTTTCTCTCCCTCCATATCCACCAACTGACGTAAGCAGACACTGTGTACTTTCTCTCCCTGCTAGTCTCTCTCTTGTGACGTAAGCAAACACTGTGTACTTTCTCTCCCTCCATGAACACCGACTGACGTAAGCAGACACTGTGTACTTTCTCTGTGTACTTTCTCTGTGTGCTTTTTCTCCCTCCATGTCCTCCCCTTCCCCCGACTGACGTAAGCAGACACTGTGTACTTTCTCTCCCTCACAGTCTCTCTCTTGTGACGTAAGCAGACACTGTGTACTTTCTCTCCCTCCCAGTCTCTCTCTTGTGACATAAGCAGACACTGTATATTTTCTCTCAATCCCAGTCTCTCTCTTGTGACGTAAGCAGATACTGTGTACTTTCTCTCCCTCCCAGTCTCTCTTTTGTGACGTAAGCAGACACCGTATATTTTCTCTCCCTCCCAGTCTCTCTCTTGTGACGTAAGCAGACACCGTATATTTTCTCTCCCTCCCAGTCTCTCTCTTGTGACGTAAGCAGACACTGTGTACTTTCTCTCCCTCCATCTACCCAGCCGTGTATCATAGGATGGAGATGATGATGATGCCACCGGCGCCGCCTCCAATGGCTATGGCGGACTTTGGCGGACCTCCTGCCCCAGCGGAGTCTGCTTCTCTAGCAGAACCAGACCGTGTCCGCACCAACTTTGTGGAGACCTGGCTGTTCCAGACAGTCACCACCTGGTAGTGACGTCACTCATACGTCATTCCTCGGCTGTTTTAAGTCACTAACACACCCAACTCGCTCCGTTTTATTTTGGTTAATCCATCGCCCCCAACCCCTCCCTTACCTTCAATCCTTTTCCGTTCGTCATCATTTCTCAGCTGCTCTAACATAGACAACCAGTAGTTCTCTTCTTTTATAATTCTACCATCGTTCTCCTTCTAATCTAGACCTACAGCTGATGTAGTCTGCCTCCCCCTCCCTCCCCACGATTGATTTTTTTTTTTTTTTATTATGCTTCACATTAATCTACTTTTTTTCAGAATCTTTTTTCTCCATAATCATGCAATTTTCCATCTAACATTTCACTACGAACGTATCCATGTTTCAGCTTCACGCTTTTCAGTTCACAGGGTAACGTTGTATTATGGTTCACAATTATTTATAATGCCCTTTGAATGTTTATTTTGCAAATTTAATCTCCTTAATCATAATTTCTGCATGCTTTTCGTCCCTTTATTTCAGATTGCTTTCTCGTTCTTTCAGGGTTATTTTGGCTGGTTGTATAAAAGTAGACAGTTTGCCAACTTTGAAAAGAGTTGAAGTTTCATCTGCCACAACTTATCACCCTCCCAGAAAAAAAAAGAAAAAGGAAAAAAAAAAGAGACCCCCCCCCTCCCCTTAAAAAATCTGCAGTAAAATTTGCTTATCAAAATGTTTGCCTTCCAATAAGTATGCCTAGCTATGAATTAAGAAACATAGGACATTTTCAGTAAAGTAAAGTTGTTCCCGCATCCGATCAGGACATTGGGGATTGCTTTGCTAGTGAGACAACTTCCTGGGCCTTCGGCATATTGTGGTAGGGTGGCCAGTTCCTTTCCACGCCACCTTTACTTCCCCAACTTGAAGTCAGGTACCCATTACTGCTGGGTGGGCAGGAGGGGGCGAAAAAGTATCCATGTCCGAACCGAGGATCGAACCCGGACTTTCCGCTTCGGAATCGAGCGCACTAACCGCTCCGCCACCGCACCCTTTGTAGTACTTGCCTGATGTATATTTTAGACTCTTTGTCATACAAACAAAAGGTTTGAGTTCCATTCCAACGTGGAGAGAATAAAACATTAATCCCAACCGATTATTATTTTCACCCTCCCATTGCCACTGTTATTATCCCTCTGTAGAAACATCAAACAGCCACAAAAAAAGTAATCCATTATCAGAAATGTCAATGGCCGTGTTAGGAAAAAAATAAATGTAACAGTAAATATTATCCATGGATAGCATTGCTCTTTGACTAGCACCTATGAAAGAATTAATTAATTGTTAGTAGGCACTCTTGTCAATTTACATTCGGCAACTTTTGTTCATCAATGTGTAATCCAGCCAGTGATGCTAGTGTTGTTGACATAAGGCAATACAACGATGGTAGCATTAGCCCCCGACCCCCCCCCACCCTACCCCCAATGGGCGCTATTTTTGTCATATTAACATAGCCTGGTATGCATTGCATGATATAACGCTCTTAATAACGTTTTTTGTTGGCTAATTATTGCGTAATATATTACAATGCTATCATGTACCCTTGCAGTTATTCCTTTACCCAATTTTCAATTTATTATTATTTTCAGAAAACATTTTGCCTTATATGATTTCGTCCTCCTTCATGTATTTTTACTAATTCCCAAAGGTGTTTTTTTTTCCTTCAGAATTTAGGTTATACTTTGCGATTAGAATTTTAATAGAGACTTAAGGGTTTTGTTAATTTTCTTAGTTCTGAGCAGCTTGACAAATGCAATTGATATTTCTCATAGTCTCTGATATAATCCCATTGTTAGCCTAATAGTTATAATATGTGTTAGTTCATCTTAAAGAATACAAAGACCAGGTTTGGCTTTACAATTTCAGTACCGTATTGCAATCTGTCACTACTTAACAACAA